CATCAACGTGAGGGTAACAGAGCCAAAATGCTTTTTAAAAAAGCAAAAACAGAGTAAGGATCCATTGATTCCTGCTTTGATTTTTTTTATTTAAAATTCATTTTGTTTTATATTTCATTTTGCAAATTTCCACTGTTTTCAGGCTGGGCATAGCCCGCACTAGGTACAGGGGTCGGGGTGGGAGGGTGTCGGCACAAAGATGCTCCCCGTGAGCCCAGATTTCCTTCCCCTCTGGCATAAACCCATGCAGTTCCTCCCACGCTCCTGACTTCAGGGGGACCCCGGTTGTCTTGCCCTGCGTCCTGAAAGGAGTTTGCAGGGTTGACACCCATGTGTGTGAGAGAGAGAGAGCAGAGCAAAGGGTGGGTGGGGGAAGCGGGTCCCCTAAGCACCCCGGTGCCCCCCCCTGCTCAGCCCCACCAAAGCGCTCTGCTCCCCGCCGGGGGGGGTGTCTCTCCTCTCCTGCAGATGCTTCCCTCGAGCTCCAGCGCGATGCTTAGCCCACCGCCCCAGCCTCCTCGTGACCTCCAGCAGCAAGGCTGTGCCATGGTCTCCTGGGAGCAGTACCAGCGCCTCCATCACCAGTTCCGCCAGGCGGAGCGGAGGTGCCAGCGGCTGCAGGAAGAGCTGGAGAGCCAGCCTCTGGAAACCGACATGCCCCAGGTAGGACCTTCTTTTTCTCTCCTCCTTCTATCCGTAGGCATCGGGTTCTTTATCAGCCCGTGCCCACCAGGTCCTGCCTCCTCGTCCTCACCAAGGCCGTTTCTCTGTTTATGCCAGTTTCACCATCCCACGGGCAGGAGAGGCTCCCATCTTTCAGAGTTTTTCGTGGCTGCCTTCTGATTTGCCTCTCTTTTTTTTTTTGCCGGTCTGCTCTCTGTGGTCCTTGCGTTCTGGTTTCTTCGGTGGCATCTTTAAATCCGTGGGCAGCTCCGCTTGCCAAAACAGGGAAGCCCCACGGCCGTTTAAGGAGTGGGTGTCTCTCCCCATACCTTACGGCTGCCATTAGAGACCATCAGGGCCCGCGGAAGAAATCCTTCTGCGTTGCCAGCATCCCGACCCAGCTGGCCTTTACAAAAACCTCTCCTGGCATTGGGAAACGGGGTCTCCTTTCCTTCAGGGGTCCTCAACCGCGGGCCCCTTCCCAAAGTTGGGACTTCCGCTCCCAGAAACCTTGGTCCCATGGGCTGGTGCGTCTGGGAGTTGAGGTCCAAAACCTCTAGAAGACCAGAGTCGGAGAACCGTTGCAGTTCGTTTCCAACCCTTGGGTAACGCCGGTGTTCATGTACTGCAATTCCCAGAAATCTCAGCTAGTATGAAGGCTTCCAGGAGCTGCAGTCCAAGAACACCTGGATTACCTGTGGTTGAGAACCACAGCCCAAATGGTTTTTTGGGCGGACCTATCCATCCTTCGTAGCCAGCAAACCAGTCATCATAGTCCAGCAACATCTGGACATGTACAGGTGGTTCCTTTCCTTGGTTTCAGAGAAAGGCAGCCTAAGAAAATACCATCTTCACACACATACACACATGCACATGCACACACATGCACGCACGCACGCACACACACACCCTCTCTCTGTGCATATTTTGGATGCTTTTCCTGCTCATTCATCAGGTGCCACCACTGTACATTAGTGCTTGCATTCCGATGCACTGCTGTCAAAGTGTTCATTAAAACCGTGAGATGGAGCATCCTTCGGGAGCCTCGTAGGGCGAGACAGCGGGGACTCTTAGCCACCGTTTGCCTTGAAAGGCAGAGGCGTTGCATGCACACAAGATCATCTTTGTGATGATGACTCCTGAAAATACTGGAAGAGACCATGAGGGGCTCTGTGGCAACTGACCGTACCACTCGGTCAGAGATGGGCCAGTCCATAAAGCATCATCAGTTCAAGCATTAAACCAGATTATGGCCTGGTGGCCCTCTGGCTTACACATTCCCTCGTTCTTGCCTTTCTCTTTTCCTGCATTTGGACGCTTCTCCTTTTACTGGGCAAATCCTTGTTCATAGTGACATTGAAATCAGCAAAGAAAGACTAATCTCCTTTCCAAAGCCGAACCAGAGACCGCAACTGAGCTGAATGCTCAGTTTTGGTCTGCTGAACAAGGGGTGCCTATTCTAACTTGCCCAGTATGAATGTAATGGCAAGCTATATGTTGCTGAAAGTCGGAAATCACGGGATCAAAACAGACATGCAACTAAAAGTACGTTTCCTGGTCTTCTGCCTTTTCCTCTCCAGCTCTGATTTATCACAAATATCTCTGGCATTAGTCAGACAGACGAAGCCTTGGTTTACATTCAGAAATAAACCCCCAAGACCCACCCAAACCCATCTCCCTTTATTCACTATTTGTGCAATGTCCCAACTAGACCTTATTCACCACTTGAGGGAGCACTCTTTCTAGAGACGGGATTAGTGTGGCGACTGAGGAGGCTCAGGAAGTGAACTGGAAGGTGCAAAGAGGAGAGATAGCGCAGAAGCCCAGTGTGAAAACCTGACCACCTGACCTATGAAATGAGTGTTAAGAGTCTCCAGGCTACCCCCTCAGTGTCGCTTGCCCCAGCCAAATAGCCGGTGCTACTCTTTAATCCTAATGTCCATGATGCAGAGCATGTTTTGTGTGCGCTTCGCTTTGTGTTTTGTTTTTTAACATTTGCGGTCATGTCTGTCTCTTGTGCTGATGGCTTAAATGGCGCTGGCTGTCGGCATTACTAAGTGTGATGTGCTGTTTTTGGTGTTGTTTTTTTTCCAAAGACCTGTGCGTGAAGTGTGTCATCCTTCCCTTTTTCCCCAGGCCTTGCTTCCGGAACAGCGGTCATTGCATGCAGATACGTACAGGCGGATCGGTCACCTCTGACACCCCTTGTGACCCATTAACCCACCTCACTGCTTACTCACACAGACTGGCATAAGCTGAGAAATGCGGGGGTCCAATGAGTTATTTGTTTGTTTGTTTGTTTAATTTAAAAAACCATTTTATTTTATTTCCTTTTAAGCCTCTCCAGTGTTATGTTTTCCACCCCACCCTCCTTATTTATTTGTGTCAAAATCTGCTTTTGTGTGTGCGCGCTGCATGTGTCTGATGGCAATAAGGCCTTTTCTGTATTGTTATTTTTTAAAAGTTGTCATGAACCAACTCTTCTTTTTTTAATTTATTTTATTTAAAAGTTGTTTATCCAGAGGAGTTTGGAAGAGAAACACTATTTTTTTTCCTCTCAAAAGGTATACTGTAACTATTTTTAAGCCAACAAAGGTACTAATTTTTTATATATTGGATTTGAAATGAGAAAAAAATCGGGTTATTTATACAAAGTTTTGTACGAGATGTATACATACTTTTTAAATGGGGGAAAGAGCTACACTTTTTTCAATTGTGATCGGACAAATAAAAATACACATTTTAAAAAAATATATGTGTGTCATTTTTGTCTTATTTAATTGATCGGACCTGCTTGGGACCCCTTTGGTGAGGCTGAAGCTCTGATTAGATGGGCTGGAGAGGAATACAGTGGGGCCTCGCTAGACGATGATAATCCGTTCCACTGAAATCGCTGTTTAGCGAAATCATTGTCTAGCAAAAAGCATTTCCCCATTGGAATGCATTGAAATCTGTTTAATGCCTTCCAATGGGGAAGAATCGTCGTTGCCTAGTGAGGATCGGTCATAGGAAAGCCGCTTTGGGAACCGCCGATCAGCCGTTTAAATTGCTGTCTTGCGAAGCTTAGGTCCTGAAAACACCCGTTTTGCGAGCGCGGAAGGAGCTGTCAAAATTGTCGTCTAGCGAAAATCAGTTTGTAAAGCAGGGATCAAACATCGTCCAGCGAAATTCCCCCATAGGGGGAAATGTAATGGGTAGAGTGATGGACCTGGACAGAGGAAGCCTCGGGTAACATACCTCCTCTTGAACATGGAAACACACTGGAGGATTACACTGGTAAAACCGCTCCTGAAATATCTCCTATAACTTGAAAATCCTATTTGGGTCACCATAACTTGGAGGCAGCTTGAAGGCATATAAATAAAACTAAGCCCTAATTTGCTGGCGTTTTTGTGATAAATGTTTTTACCATTTTCGGGGGTCATGTTTATGACTGACACCGACTCATTCAGGTGAAAGGGCCACAAAATGGCACTATTGTGGCTTCACATGTTCTAAAGTGATGTATGCTGGAGCGAAAAATCCCAATTTCAAATATCTAGGGGGTGCAGGTGGGGGTTTGAACTGGGGGGGGCAGCAAAGTTACCAGGAAAGAGATTTTGGGCTCATGGAGGTGAGATCTATTAAACGCGCGGCCCCCGTCATGGATAAAGTGAATTCCATGCTAGGGGTCATGAGGAAATAAAACGAAAACAGCCAACATGCCTAGTTCCGTAATACAATTCACAGATGTGACGGTCCTTAAATGGGACGGTTCTGGTTGCTTGCTTCCGAAGGATCGAAATAACAGATCTCGGAAAGATGCAGGAATGGGAAAATCAGCAGTCAGGAGGATCGTCATGGACATTTGGTTAAAAAGAGGAGGACAGAGGCATATATAAAATTATGTGTGGTGTGGGGAGGAAAGTAGAAAGGGACAAGCTTTCTTAGGGAAAAAAAATTAACAATCTTGCATGCAAGCTAACACAGGATTGTGAGTCAAGAGCCAGAGTGGATCCTCCCTTTGCAAGAGCAGTATACCACCGGGGTGGAGGTCATGGGGAGCTGGAGCTGTTGGTGCCTGGGAATTTTGCCAAATCCCTTGATTCAGTTTGGGTAGCATGAGATTGGCACACGTTAAGGGGGGGAAAGATGGCTGAACAGCCAGGTCTGAGTGCATGACGGCCGTTTTTGTTCCATGCCAGGCACGCTTGCTTTGTTTTCCCTTTGGCCCAGGGAAATGTGCCCCTTTCCAGCCTCTAATGCCTTTCTACTCTCTACGTTTTGAATCCCAGTTGTACCATCCTCGTTACAGTTTCACCTCTGGTGCCCGCGTACGGATTTCTCAGAAATATCTCTGGTCTCTGTCAAGATAAGCTCATGATGGAGACGATCCTTTTTTCTTTCCCCCGGGGGTGTGTGGGTGGTTTCCAATCCAGTGGGACTTTTCTTACGTACACAGACTAAAACCTTCCTAAGAGGGAGCATCCAAACCTCACCAGGTGCTTCAGACCAATCTGCCCGCGGAAAAGTAGTGCGTGCCAGGAAATGGGGATCTGCAAGGCGCCCAAGAATCCGTGCGAAGACCCGCCAGTGGAAGGAATGGAATTCCGTGCCCGTAAGAGTTTCAGCCATTCCATTCAATGGGAACCATTGACACCCTTCCAGTTGTGCACAAATCCCTTTGGATGCGTCCGTCATGTCCCCTCTGTTGAAACGAACGGGGGAGCCTCTTCGCACATAAAAGGGATCGTGCCTTTTATGTGTGCAAAGGTTTCTGGACATGAGTGTGCATCTTCTTGGAAAACCTATCCTTATCTCTCTCTACGTAACCCATTATCACATAGAATACCATCAGTCTCGTGGCCCATTTTCTTCATCTGGCAAAGTCGTCTCTCGCCCGCGAGGGCTGACATTGAAAGAAACCAGGTCGTGGCCTGATATTTCAAGGGTTTCAGCCTTGCCTTGATGGGCTTTCCTCCTGCTTCTTTTCAGAATGGGCATGAGCAGCTGTTCGAGACCATGGAGAAACGCATGATGGATGTGGAGCAGCAGCTGCAGCTCGTGAAACGGCTTCTCCAGGAAAAAGTCAACCAGCTGAAGGAACAGGTGAGTCTGTCGGAAGAATTTTGGTTATTTGTTTTTAGTTAGCAGAGTATAAAGTACGACAGCGGTTCTCAAACGTGGGTCCCCAGATGTTCTTGGACTGCAACTCCCAGAAATCCTGGCCAGCACAGCAAGTGGTGAAGACGCCTGGGAATTGCAGTTCAAGAATATCTGGGGACCCCAGTTTGAGAACCACTGAAGTAAAAAAACACAAGAATGAGAGGTGCAGCACCGGGGGAACATGAAGGAGAATAGCTAAGAACCCCAGTTTCCACCCAACCCCTTTGTTCACAATGAAAATCACTCTACAAGTAACTTAAATAGGAAAAACTCATTTACTTACAGTTTATTTTGTGTTACAATCAGAAGAGTAAAATGAATAAAAAGAAGGGTTCTTGTTCTTTCAACCATCGTTCTTTACGGAAAGAGTCCCCCCCCCAAAAAAAAGATAGGGAGGCACCCAGACCACAGACACTAAAGGTCCCCACCTGCAGGATTTCCATCTTGTCCAGGTTCAGCCTCAGTCTGTGGTCCCTCAACCATCCCACCACCGCATCCAGGCAGCACTCAAGGGACAGGACGGCATCCACTGCAGAAGGAGGGAAGGAGAGATAGAGCTGAGTGTCGTCTGCAGATTGATGACACAAAGCTCCAAAGCTCCTGATGACTTCCCCCAGCGGCCTCATGTGGATATTAAATAGCATTGGGGAGATGATTGACCCCTGCAGGACCCCACAACGGAGGGTCCACGGAGGGGACAACATCTCCCCAAGCTGAACTCTCTGAAGATGGTCCTCCAGGAAGGCTCGCAGCCAGGCCAAAGCCTGACCACTGATCCCCGACCTTGAGAGCCTTCCCAGGAGGATCCGGTGGTCCGTAGGTGTTTGTCCTATCTGATAGAACACGTGCCTATCATGGTTTTTGTCCCCATCTAGTGGCCAGTTCTGATACTGATAATGTATGTGAAAATAGGTTTCTCTCTCTCTCTCTCTCTCTCTCTCTCTCTCTCTCTGTGTGTGTGTGTGTGTGTGTGTGTGTGTGTGTGTGTGTTTGCTATTATCTGTGGTTTTCAATATCTGTGGGAGGGTTGGAACTGATCCCAAGGAGATATCAGGGTCCTATTGCATGACATTCTAGACCAGGGGTCTCCAAACTACAGCTCGCAGACCACATCCAAACCAACTGGCCATTTTATCCAGCCTGTTCTCTTCAATGTGTGCGTGCAGGGGGTGCATGCCTGTGGGGGGTGTGGGTGTGTGCAGAAGGGCAGGCGTCCATGTGGGGATGCATGCATATGGCCATGTGCACACGCACATTCCTTCGGCCCTCAAAGATGTTGAAAATATGCAATGAGGCCCTCACGCTCAAAAGTTTGGAGACCCCCTTTATACAAACACACACGTACAATGTTGTCCAATGACATATACCGGACTTCTGACTATAAATAGGGAAATGGCTAGTAGGAAGACAGGGCGAGCAGGTGGGTGTGGGCACACGCTCTGCCTGAAGCAAACCCGCCCCTTCTTCCTCTGTTTCAGCTGACCAAGAACAGAAAAGCTGATGAAATGGTGAAGGACCTCTACGTTGAGAACGCCCAGCTCCTGAAAGCTCTGGAGATGACCGAACAGAGGCAGAAAACGGTGGAGAAGAAGAACTACCTGCTAGAGGAGAAGATTGCCAATCTGGGCCGGATCGTCAAGAACCTGACCTCGCCGCCGACGTTGGCATCCGCAGCCCAGCTGGGCTCGAAGCCAGAGGCCGGGCTTGCCTCTCTCGGCCCGGCGCATGCACTTTATAGAACGGTGAACTTCCCTGTGGTCTTCAACGATGCTGCCCGTTGAATGTTAATGATCACAGCTTTCCTCAGGGCTATGCGTTCTCTGCCCCTAAGAAAGCCGGGTTCGGGTCTCGCGCACCTGTCTGGACAGGTCCAAGCGCCATCTGAACGACAGACTCCCTGTTTTGCCTCCCAAGACTTTGTGGCTGGGGAGGAGAGAGTGTGGGAGCCTCAGAAGGGGCTCTTTTAAGTGTCACCTGGAGAGCCACAGACCTGGTTTGCAGGCTTTCGGAGCAGCAGAAGGAAGTGCAGTGGGCCCCATCCACCAAAAGAGTGCACCGGCCCACTGCCACCCTGCAAGAAGATGGAAAATCATAGTAGTACTCCAATGTCTGCTCTTTCTAGGCCACGGGGGTTGGGGATGGGGAGCGAGAAGCGATTGAGAAATGGGGGTGTGATGGTGTGGATTTGTGCGGGCAAGGGGCTGCAATGCCCCCCTCCCTTGTCAAAGCATAAAGTACCAGTCTGGCCTAAATCCAAAGGGCCGTTGACTTCTGGCCCCAGCGGCTGCTACAACAACGTCTGTATTTTACCTTTGTCACCTATCAGTGACATGACACGTTTTGCATGTAGAGAGAAGGTTTGCAGGTGGCTATATTCGAATTACTGTACCTTTAGTCATTCTTGACTACAATCTCCAAAGAGGGGTTTCAGGTTAAAAACCCAAAATGTCCTCCACTGGCTTTTAAAATTCCTAAATTACTTGACCAGCTAGCCTGACATTACCTTTTTATGGCTTTATTTTTTATTATTTCAGATTATTTCAACATAACCACTTGATTCAATGCACTATACTTGGGGAATGTACACCTGATCTACCTGATCCTCCCCTCAAAAAAATTCAGTGGTGGTGGGGAGAGCAGTGATCTCCCTTTGCCCTTCTTGCTGTGGGTTCAGTGGTCCAGCCCGTGCAGATTAAAGGTGTCTAGACGTGTCTTCTCATCATGGCGGAATGAGTTGCTGATGAGCATGGGACAAGATACTGAGAGGCAGAGGGACCGATGTACGACAGCTCTCAGTTGTAGTAACTTTTGCCCAGAGGCTGGAAAAGTTCCTTTTGGAGAACTACAACCCCCAGAATGCCCCGGCCACCCTATCAGCCTCTTTACTCGGGAGATTGCCATATGTCAAACTCCTAGTTCATGACTTTGCATCCCATTTTATTACTATTGCTTAGAAATAGAAAAGACTGCATTTTGGCTACCTCTTTCCTACCTTAATTCCACGTCCTTTGCTTTTCCTCTATTTGCTAAGCAAATGGCCACTTGGGATACAGCATCGCTCTTTCTGGTTGTCCGATCAATCTCACCTCCTCTTTTTCTGTTGAGCTCTTTCAGCATTTCGTTGCCCTTCCTTGGCTAAACGAGCCTTCTCCCCAAGCCTTTCCTGCCCAACGCACATCCACAGAACACCCCACTCCCCCCCATATCTTCTGCAACCCCACACGCCTGTGCATGCATAATGCACCTTCCTTCTTTCCCCCTCCGTCTTTCCCCACGCATCCTGTCTGCTCACTTCATCCATCCGGCAGGCTCAATGGTGAGCCCTCCAATGCTGGAGGCATTCAAGAGAAAGTTAGACCAGCTTCTATCAGATATACTTTGACTTGGAATCATAGAACCCTGAAGTTGAAAAGGACCTATAAAGGCCATCAAGTCCAACCCCCACTCCATGCGTCGAGCAGGCACAGAATCAACTCCCCGATTCTCTGATTCTGTGACTTAACATGGCGTTTGCGTATCTTTGGTGCAGTCCTCAGTTACTGTGAGTATCTTTTGGAATTCGCTGCTCAGAGAGGTACCACTGATGGAAACCTTTTCAGCACCAGGTTATGACATTTTTTATTTTTATTCTTCTGGGCATTATAAATTGCTACAATAACTGAGCCTGCCTTAACATCTTGACTGCAGCCTCTCCTTTTTTTAATAGACATGTGTGTTGCGGTTTTAATGTACCTGGCATTCATATTTTTATTTATGCCTCTCGTACACTGCCTTTAAAAAACCCGCTTATGGGAAGGAGGGTTGTAGAAATACTTTAAATAAATGCACAAAAGCTGATGTTGCGTCCTGTGTCAATTGCTGGAAACCCGCTTACGGGAAGGAGGGTTGTAGAAATACTGTACTGTACTTTAAATAAATGCACAAAAGCTGATGTTGCGTCCTGTGTCAATTACTGGCTCCCTGTTGTAGAGAGGGGTCTTTTTAGAGTTTTGGCTGGCTCCCTGTTGTGGAGAGGGGTCTGTTTTGCTCCCGCGGCCTGTCCTCTATCATGGATCTTGCCGCTCAGGTGGCTGTGCGTTGCGGCCTGTCCTCTATTGTGGATCTTGCCGCTCAGGTGGCTGTGCGTTGTGACTCTTCGGTGAATCCCTCGACGTGTGTTATTCGGCGCTTCCACGGGCAACCATTAGCCCGTGGGCACAGAGAAAGACCAATCACCCCACATTGTTTGGGGTGAACCCTGACACCTCAACCCGAGGCAACCGTTTTGGAATCTCCACATTCCAACCGTCACAAACTGGTGTGAAACTGAGACGGTAAAGAAAGCTGAGAGGAGAGGGAATTGATGATTTGGTGCTGGAGGAGAATTTGATTTGTTTGGAATCTGGTGCTGGAGGAGAGTTTGGTGGATCCCCTTGGATGGCTGGAAAGACAACCAAGAATCAAATCCAGCCTGAACTATCTCTGGAGATGCCCGGAAAGACAACCCAGTGCGGTCCTAGAATCGAATCCAGCCTGAACGGTCGCTGGAGGCCAAACTGTTGAGGCTGTCCTACTTTGGGGGGCACATCCTGAGAAAGCAGGAATCCCTGGAAAAAGGCCGTTCTGCTGAAAAAAAAAGGTGGAAAGGCAGCAGGAAAAGAGGAGGACCAAAGATGAGATGGACCGACTCCCTCAAGGAAACCACAGAATTGAATTGGCCAGAGCCGAACAAGGCTGTTAGAGGACAGGACAGTTTGGGAGGCGGTTCATTCATAGGGTCACCATGACTCCGAGGTGGCCTGTTGGGGGGGGACACACAACATCACAACCGCGGCTCCCCACGGCCCTTGGAACGCCAGGTCGCCACATCCCCCTCCGGCCACTAGGTGGCGCTGCCGGGGAATCCGAGCCGCGACCTCCCGTCCAGGGAGGGGAAGCGAACTCCAAGGGGGGGCGCTCTCTCCTTCCCTCTCTCTGTATTTCCTTTCCTCCTCCCCTCGGCTTCCAGGGTCCGGCGGCCGCCCCCCTTCCCAGAGTGCTTTGCGCGGGCGCTCTGCCCAGCTAGCCAGCCTCTCTCTCTATGGCGGGCGGGGTGTGAGGGGAAGGCGGGTGGGCGGGGACGGAAAGTTTCCTCAGGCAGCTTCTGAGGGAAGGAAAGCGGGGAGGGCGGCCCGGGC